TTTTTGTTTTTTTTTTTTTTTTTTTTTTTTTTTTTTTTTTTTTTTTTTTTTTTTTTTTTTTTTTTTTTTTTTTTTTTTTTTTTTTTTTTTTTTTTTTTTTTTTTTTTTTTTTTTTTTTTTTTTTTTTACAAATTTAGCCATTCCCCACCACAAGTTCTACAACAGTTTTGCAGCTGATTACGGCTGAGTCTGTATAGAGAAAAACAATACAGGATAAATCCTGGAAGGTATGTTTGGGGTGCTGTTTTGGAATGTAGTTAAAGAATAATGGAAGAGATAGAGCTACATATTATTAAAAATGAAATAATTAAAATTGGGGATAAGTTAATAGATAGTGATGATATCTTTAATTTGTGTAAAAGAATACAAAGAAGTAGAACAGCACAATGTATTGACAAAATTTTAGAATGTATTTTTTACATGCCAGTAAAGATTGGAATATATGCAACTATACTAGGAATAATAACAAAAGATAATGAAAAATTAAGATTACAATTGTTCTTAAAATTGAATCATAATATTGAAGTGTTTATAAAAGATAACCCATTACATTGTTTACTATGGATTAGATGTATAATTGGCTTAAGCTGTTGTCATGTGTTAGAATTTGCACATTGTATGAAATTATTTAAGAATTTATACGAATTATGTATTGAATTATATAAAGAAAAAAAGTTTATAAAGGGAGATAACATTTTGTATATATTTTTAAGTAATTTCTTTTACATATCGAAACAGATATATGATGAAAATAAGGAGAATTTAGATAACATGTTAACCAATTGTTTCGACTTGATTGAAAAAAGACAAGAACATATTGATAATATAGATATAGACAATAATGATATATCAACCATTGAATATATATATATATATATTAACAGTATTATACATAGTGATAATTTTTATGATAGATTATTTTATTTAAAAAATGCTTTATACAGTTATGTACAGAATAATTTAAAAAGTGTAGCAACGCATAGATTTTATCAGAAGGAAATATTTCAAAAAATATTTTTAAATGAGGAAAATGTAGAAGATGGTTTATTAAATGATGAAAATGGATCTACCCTTCCCAGAATTATTCACCTTGATAATGGAGAAGATGATAACATGTTGGAATTTTCATCCCATGGGGATCCAAATAATATTTCTCATAATGAGATAAACAACAGTAACCAGGATAAGAGTAGCGGAACATTATTACATAGTTCTAGGAAGAAAGAAATAAATCTTCAAATGGCAATTGAAAAATGTGTGAATGCAGAATATTTTGAAAATTATGAATGTGCTGAATGTATACCTAGTTTGCAAATTAAATTTAAGACCAAACACGCAAATAAGAAAAATATGCATGATGTATGGTTAATGCAAGAGCATGTTTTACATATTATAGAATTGTACAGAAACAGTGTTGAATTTAGTTCTAAAGTATTAGGTGTATATGTTCAGTTACAAAGTAAATTATATAATAATGTATTAATTGAATGTATTGTTAATAAATTATTGTCTTCTTTTAACAAGAAGCACTACTATTTTTACATATCCCTGATTCATAGACTATTATTAATAAATAAAAATTTGGGAAGTGTAATCATCAGATGCATTAAATTTGTTATAAAGCAAATTGGAAAATTGGATAATGAATCCTTTTATCTCTTCATGGAATTGTGCCTTTATATGCTATCCTACTTTACTTATGAAAACAAGGTTCTGAAGAGTAAAGAAAACTTTTTTAAAAGAAAATATAATGACATGAACAAAATTTTAAAAGTGCAAGAGGAGGAGAACAAGCACAAGTTGAACATAGAACAGGTACCCTCAAAAGAGGGTGAAGAAGACCCTGATGAAAATAAAAAAAAAAGAAAGAGGGACGAGGTGGAAGAAAGAGAACAGTTAAGTGTACATCCAAGTGAGAAGACAAATGGGGAATCAGATGAGGAGGAACCAAAGGAACAAGTTAACGGCAGTGAAAATCTTCCACACAGCACAACAAATGTAAAAAGAAAGCAAGTCATTCTGAAAAAAAATGAAAACACATTGAACGCTATGAAAAGCTTAGAATGCAAAATGCCAGTGTGCATTGAACTAGACGTGAAGTATAGCTCTGATGAAGAAGAAGAAGAATGCAACGAAGGAGAAGACAAGGGAGGAAAAGAAGAAAATGATGAAAATGGTGAAAATGGGGAGAACGAGGAAGAAGAAAGTGACGAGGATGAGGATGCTGATGCTTATGCTGCAGAAAATAACGAAATTGATAGCAGCAAAAATAATTTCGATTTTGAGAGTTTTAAGGAAGAATTGGAAAAACTAGATATGGGAGAAAACTTAAGAAAGTTTACCAATTTAATGTATAGTGTGAAAAAGAAATATTGTCGAAAATGGATAAGAAATTTTTATTTTAAATCTTGTTCATTGATATATAAAAATGAGTTAGAGAATTTAATTCCTAAGTCTGTTATTACATATTGCAACAGTTTTAAATGTGCTGTAGATAATCAACATGAAAGATTTCATGAATATGCCATATTTAATTTCATTTTAAAATATTCCCTTGATGAGATTAACAACATAGAAGATCAATTTTATGATATGAGTAGAGAAGACGAGTATAATAACGATGTTGAACAGAAGGCTTTAAACAAATTTAAAGATTCCATTAATTCATTCATTCAAAGTTTTTTTAATTACCTAAACGGAAAAATGCAACTGAATAAGGTTCCACATTTTTTTGAAAACGTAGAAAAAAATATCCAACAAGTGGAGAATATTTCAAGTGCCAATTTGGATGGAGCTTTTTTTGTGAATTATATTTTTCCAAACGATTTTACTTCCAATACAGAATATTGGAATAGTTATAGCATTTTAATTCTCTTTTTTAAGGCTCTCCTATTTTTTGATTCATCAAATGTTTCATCCTTGAAAAAAATATTCAGAAATCATGCAATTATATTTTTGAATTACAAAAATTCGGATGCACTTCCATCAGAGGAGGAAAAGCTTCAGTTCGATATGGAAATTCTATCAATTGTATATGCCCATTTTAACAACTCTATTATGCTGAACGCACTTGTGGCCATTTTGCTTGAAAATGACATCGTGGATGAGTTATCTGTCATGCACTTTATTTTCAGCAAGTTGGATCAGGCCAACTTAGGTAAGTCCGCTAATATGGGCACGTACACAGATATGTACACACATGCATATGCATATATATATGCATATACTGGTAGATGTATGTGCAATTGAAAATGGTTGTTCTCCTTTTCAACGACTCGTTTGTTTAACGGGAAAAGGATTCCGATTCATTTACCTTTTATTTTTCCCTCACATTTCGTAGATGAATATTATGTGACAAGGCTTATATATGAATGTATTGACAACTTAATCATAAGGAAGGAATGGCACGAAATGGAAAAGAATAAACTGAAGAGAAAACAAACGAAAAGTGAAAGCGAAATGTTAATAAAAGAATTAGAAGGTAAAAAAAATGAAACAATACAAAAGGTTTTTCATTTGACAAATAAGATACTTTTTATGCTAAGTAACAAAATGATGAAATTAAAGAATGAAAATAACGCTTATATGAGTAAAGAGTTATTAAAAGAATTATTAGTATTTTTAAGAACATATGTTGAGTACATAGACGCTGATCAATTTTTGCAGCTGTGTCAGGAAAATAATTTTGCATCAGAATTGATGGAGCTAGCGACTATTTTTAAATATGTTAGTTTAAAAAAGGAACGGTGAATATAGTTAGTGTTCTCTTCGTGTACAGTTCTTAAATTAGTAAATTATTTGTCATATTCTGCAGAAAAAGCAAAAACAAATAAAATGAGGCAAATAAAGTGGGACAAATAAAATGAGGCAAATAAAGTGGGACAAATAAAATGAGACAAATAAAATGAGACAAATAAAATGAGACAAATAAAATGAGAGGAATAAAATGAGACGAATAAAATATAACTATTCTGACCTGTTCACATGTGGATCTATTTGTATTTAGTGAAAAATACTCATATGTAGCAATAACATGTAGTTGTCAATATGAAAACCTACAATTACACAAAATGTTGCTGCAAAAATGTGTTATTTCTTTTTGTGTATTTTTTTTTTTTTTTTTTTTCTCTCACCAATCAGAGTCTTCTTAAATTGCTTGTATTTTTTGGTGATTACAAAAAGAAAATTTTTTTTTTTTTAAAATATGTACTAATGTACATAGAACACAACTTATATGTAACTAAAAACAAAATAATTATAAATTTTGTTGAATAGTAAGTTAAAAATGTTTTTATCTTTTTGGACATTGCATTGGGGAAAAAAAAAAAAAAAAAAAATCTTAGGAGAAGATATATAAAGGGGGGAGGATGTAAAAAAAGCTATTAAAAAAAGGGACTACAGTCCTGAAAAAGATGATGGTAGACATATGACCCCTGCTAGCCATTTTGCTATTTTCATCAGATAAGCAAAATTTCACCAAATTAGTAAATTTCGAAATGTAAAAAAAGGGAAAAAAAGGGAAAAAAAATATATGACGCATTTTATGGTAACACACAAATTCATAATGGTGAAACTCAAATCAGCGCCGCGAAAAAAAAAAAAAAAAAAAAAAAAAAAAAGTGAAACAAAATAAAATAGAATAAAATAATCTATTATAATCCAAATTCGTCTTATGTTAACGTGTGCACATGTTTGAATCCTCAAAATCCTCAAATCCTCAATATGCAAGTTCCTATTTGTTGCGTTTTTTTTTTTTTTTTTTTACCTTTTGGTATCTTTTTTAACTATGTAAATTGTTTTAAGCAAAAAGGGGGTGCTTTCTTATAGCAGCTCATTATCTATTCCTAAAGATCTATTTTTTTTTTTATAATTCAAATGGTTCTGTATATATATCCCACGCATATTACATGGTTTGAATATTTTAAAACGATTTCAATATCATCAGTTTAAGTTAAACTTGAAGATAAAGGAAAGGTTAGTGAATATAAATGTAGTGCGTTTGAGGGATGGGTGGGTGGGTGTATTTTATTATAACATGATAATGGTGTGTACATATGGGTTACACACCTTTTTTAACTCTATATAGTTATAATTTTGCTTGGCCTTCAAAAATAAAACCCTTGTAAAATGTTGAAAAAAGATAGGAAAATTGGATTTTTGCTTGTTGAAACATATGTGTAAACTTGATATATATAAATGTCATACACAACAGGATGTGTATTATACTTAAATTGTTCATGTGTAAAGGATGAGCAATTTTACTTAAACATTTCTAAACTCGAATTCTATTTTTTTGGGAGCATTCATCAAAAGAGTGGTGTGTTCATACTTGAAGGCTAGAGACAATTGCAGAATAAAAGGGAAGATTTCTTTGGGTATTTTAAAATTTAAATAGTGCACGTAATTTTTATCAATTTTAAAATTTTGACTTGATGACATGTTTTGAAAAATATCACTTAAAGAAAAATTTTTAAATGTATCGATGGTATAATTTGCATATTCATTCACATTTGATATGGAGCTAATTTTTTGAATGGATAATTTACTTTTAATAGTGTTAGAAAATATATTATTATATCTATTTTTAAATAATGCTTCATATTTACTTATTTTTTTTTTATTATGTTTTTTTTTAATAAGTTTGTATTGAATTTGATTTTTTTTTTTTTTTTTTTTCTTCTTCGAAAGTGGAGATTGGGAATTATTATTTTCTTCACCTTCTTCGTTACTACTTACTTCTGTTGTGTTATTTTTTAGTGGTTCATCATTTTGGTTCATTTCATTTGCATTTCCATCATATATGACTTTATAATTTTCTGTGTCTTCTATTTCATCATCTAAATTTAGTTCTTCAAAAATGACATCATCATTTTGTACATATTCTATATTGTCAGTATTTGTATTTTCAGCTTCATCTTGGGAAGTGTTGCTTTTATTTTCTGGTGAAATATCGCTTTTCGAATTTGTGTTTTTATCGTATATGTCAAAATTGTAGATATCCATGTTCTGATTAATAACGTTATTATGTATATCATACACATTATTTTTATGAATAAAACTATGCTTTAAATTTGTGTTTACTTCATTAAAAAAGTCGTATAATTTCTTCTTTTCATATGCCAATGAGAATATTTCCATATGTGGTATATCCTTATAGTAAATATTTTCATTCAGCATAACAGATAAAATTAATTCATAAAATTTAATTTCTTTTTCATGTGAATAAATCCATTTTTTTTTAATTTTTTGTTTTATATTTTTGGTCTTCCCTATAACTGTACTGTTGCTTAAACGAACAAAAATAACATTTATGTTTACTTCTTTTTTGCTGTCCTTTGTTTTGTCGTCCATTTCTTTAACTATTTGAGAAATGGTAGAATTTGTTCTGATTAGCGATTCTGGTAAATCATTCGTTGTAGTGTGGGTAGAAATTACATCCGAATTTTCTAATAATTCCTTTTTCTCTCCCTTATCTGTGTCGTAGTTATATAAATCTTTATAATTTTTAATATGAAATGAGAAATCATTTAGAACATTTTTGAACTCTCTTTCATTGTTCAATTTTCCTTGGGAGGATTTTTCTTCCTTAATTATTTTTTTGGTTTCTTTTATCATTTCTTCCTCTTTCTTTATCTGTTCGATGTCTTCATATTTTGAATAACCATATAGAAAGAATTCTTCATCTAATTTTTTTTTTTCTTCTTCCATTAGCTCTTGGAATGTTTTTTTTTTGTTTTCTTCTGGAACTTGTTTCGATTCTGAAGAATCACCATTTTTTGGTTTGTTGTCATTTTTATCGTTTTGTTTGTTCTCATTGGGTGATTGGTTACTGTCATTGGAATTTTCCTGTGATGAATTGTCCCCTTCATTGCCTTGAATATCTTCCTCTTTACTAAGCAAACTGTCTATATCTGTTATTTCGTTATTTTGCATATCTCTAATGTACATTTCTTTTATTTTTTCAATATCTTCCTTAGTTATTATTTCTTCCTGTTCTTCTTTTGATTTTTTACTAGAATGGTTTGCGTCTTGCTCATCGTCTTCTCCAAGTTGTGCTTGTTTTTCATCAACATTATTTGCAATGTTGTAAAAATTAATATTGTTATATTCATTATTGAAAATGTTATGAATGGAATTGTAAAGTGCCATGCACTCATACTGCCAATTACAGTAATATATGACAAAATAGTATTCTTTGACTTTATCATTTTTAATTTTTATATTTTTAAAAAATTTTTTTTTATCATCTTGTTCTAGTTTAAACATATTATCCCAATCTTCCCTTTGAATTTTTTCTGGAGAATTAAAAAATTTGAATTTATCTCCAAATTTGTTTATAAAATCTGATACTAATTTTTGATTTCTTTTAGACAAATTGTTATTAACATTGGAATTGAAGGGGTGGGGAAAAGGTTCATTCATCTGTATGCTGTCCCAGTTTGTTTTTCCATGTGAAGCCTCATTTTGTAGGTGCTCTTTGTATATTTTATTTTTAAATTGTTCATGTTTAAACAAATTTATTACAAAAAAAATATATGCAAGTATTTCATCACTATATTTAAAAGTTTCGTAACTATATTTTTTTTCTACATTAATCGGGAGGTTATTACATACATATTGAAAATTTTTTTTAATAAACAAAATATTTTCCTTTTTAATTTGTTCCCTTCTTTCTCTTTCAGCTTCTATCTTTTTTCGAATTTCAGCTTCGTTTTCTTCATTTTGTTCATAATTCAACTGGGGAGATATGGTAGTACTATTTCGATCACTATTAAATATGGTTACTGATCTGGGTTTATATTTTTTATGGGTGGTGTTTTTTTTGTTGTAAAGGAACAAGTTCGTTTTGTTCGTCTTGTAAATTTTGTCTACATTAAAGCATGTGCAAATAAAAATGAGTGCGTGCCAGAAAACAAACTGTAAAATTATTTTCATGTTTTATGTCATCTTTTCAAGTTCTGCACGACGTAAGTACAATGAATGCATATTCGCATCGGTACAGGTATATGTGAATGCATGTGTGCATACGTGTGTGTATATATATATGTGTGTGTATAATATATTTCATATATTTGTACAATGTTAAATTATGTCGCCTGTTTCCCCTCCCCCTCCCGGCTTCTTATTTCAAAGGTTCACTGACTATGCTTAAAAAAAAAAAAATTGTGCCCTCTTTTATTCTTCTTGTTTTTCTATGCTTCAAACTTTATTAAACAATTTTTGAAGCATGTATACAAAAGGCGTTATTCCATTTTATCTAATCTGAATTCTCATACATATGTGTTTAATTTTATGTCGTTGTTTCCTTTGACTTATTTGTAGTGTTGCAATTTTCTTTCAACTTCCTCATCAGTTGTTTTGTAAATCGGTTCCTTATCCTGAGTCAGAGATCAATTATTCACGCTTACGAGGCGCATATACAAAAATTTTTACATACATATAAAAGTATATACATATAATAAAAAAATAGGTGTGTGAAGATGCTTGAACTTGTACGCATTTATAGATATGCACCCTCTTACAAGCTCGTTTCAAAAGAGTAAATATATATCATAAATATTGCTATATTTGTACCAAAAAAAAAAAAAAAAAAAAAAACAGAAGAAAAAGAAAAAAGGCGAGTTAAGCTTTCATCTGCATTTTTCATTTAATACTTTGTTTTAACTCTTTAAAATAAAGCATTTCCATGTGAGTTTTTTAAATGTGAAGGAAATAAAAAATATGGTGCAAACAAATGGAAATATATATAATTCTTCGTTTTTACAAAAAATTTTGCTGTACTAAAAAATACAACATGAATTGATAGCTTTAAAATATAACAAATTTTGTGATATTATGTATAAAGTTTGTGGAGGTACTTAAAAAAAAAAAAAAATAATAAATCTACGAAAAAGGTGAAGCCTTATTTGTGCATAGATATATACATATAACATTTTAACTCTTTCCTTTTTAATCGAGGTCAAAAGAATTGACAATTGTTAAAATGGTGAGTAAGATAGTGTGAAAAAAATTAAATACACAAAATTTAAACATGAAAACTTTGTACCTCTCTTTTTCCGCTTAATTATATATAAGGAAAAGATAAGGAGGTTAAAAAAAAAAAAAAAATGGGGAATTAATGGATATTCTAATTTTATGCTACATTTACATTTTAAAAATTGGGTAAACCTTTATGTGTGAACAAAAAAAAAAAAAAAAAGTAAAAAAAAAGGCATGTTCGATGAGCAGCTAAGGTCCTTAGGTAGACTGAATATATTCTGTAAAAAAACAAAAACAATAAAAAAATATATATTATTAAATGTGGAAGTCACAAAATTCTGGAAGGGAAAAAATAATAAAAATCTCTTTACATTGATTTACACGAAAAAATATGTTTTATAAAAATATGCACAAAATTAGGTACACACAATTATGTATGGCATGTATGAAGAATTAATTTCACCTATATAGGACCTTTGTTATCTTGGTTGAAATTCTTCATCGCTTCTGCTGCAGCTTCTCGATCTTTCGTTTTTATTTTTTTAAAATCTAAGTACCTCAAGGATGGTAAATTGTATATTACGTACTCACGATAACTTTCTAATCTGTTGAGAAAAAAAAACAAAAAAAAAAAAAGAGTTAGGGATAAAAATTAGAACATTAATGGGAATGGCTTATAAATAATCGGGTGTGTCAATAACTGATGAGCACTTTTGTGTGTACATAGGTACTTGTATGGATATTTAATCATATTTAAGCATATTCAGGCATAATTACTTGCATACGGCATTTTCTAACAAACTAAGTCTTGTTAAGTTTTTGGCCTTAAAGAGAGAATTGAGATCTGCTAATTTTTCTATCTGCAAAAAAAAAAAAAAAAAAAAAAAAAAAAATCCTGTATTTTTTTCATTCTATTTTTATGCATGTGTGTATAATGAATGGAAATTTAAAAAAATAAGTTTTTTTTTTTGCATCATTATAAAATTTATTTATGTTCTATTTTTAGAAGTATACTTATCGATTATTTGTGTATTACCTTATTATTTGTTAAAACTAGAGAATTCAAATTTGGTATATTTTCAAACACATCATTATCAATCCTGGCTATTTTGTTGTTACATAATATTAACGTTTTTAATCTTTGTAAATATGGGATGTTATTTAATTTAATTATTTCATTATCACTAAGGTCTATGCATTCGAAATAGTCTTTCGTGACCCCTAAATTTTCAATAACCGTTATTTTATTTCCTAAAATGGGAGAAAAATGGGAAAGGTAATTCAAAATAGAATATGTAACAAAATTATAACGAAATGCTTGCTAGGTTTTTTTTTTTTTTTTTTTTTTTTGTCATTTATATTTGGAGCCTTTAACAACTTATTGCCTTAGTAGATGGCACAATGTTAGACATGTGTGTATGTATATATAGGTGTACATATGTCTTCATAAGCTTATTTATCATAAAATTCCAATAATGTATATAGTTTGAATGCTCCTTGTAGGAAACTTTACGAACAATTACATATTTTATACAAGTATACAAGAGTCCATGTGAACGTGTTATTTAGTTTTTATCTTATTTTACTCTTAAGTTTATCTATTATCCTTATATCTTTTTTTTTTTTTTTTTTTTTCCTTCCTACCTCTTAACGATATAGTGTTTTCGTTAGCTGGATTTTTTGTTTGATATGCATCATTTATCATATCGACAGTTATTCTCATTTTGTTTACCCGTTCGGTATAAAAATTTTTTTTTGACTTTTGCTAAAAATGTGAAGAATGTATTATTTGGATGAATAAAAAAATTTCGTGTTTTGTTTTTACATAATTTGAAATACTTTTCCTTACAAATTGTTCACAAAAGTGTTAAAAGATTAATTTTGTTTTATTTTAATTTTTCGAATCTTTTTTTAATTATAAAAATCCCGTGTTAAGCTTATTTTACAATTAAATAAATGTTGCGGATAGGTTTTTTCCTGAATGATGTAAACGTTTTTCACTTAATTTCTACTTCGGTATACATGAAGAGAAAGAGAAGAAAGCACAATATAATTGTTTTAAAAAAAAAAAAAAAAAAAAAAAAAAAAAAAACAGAAAATTAAAACCCCGTTTAAATCTTTACACTTTTATATATCTTATACATATAAAAATTGTGAATTACTAATTTTTCTAGAAAAATAACGTGAAGTTATAAAGTTATACACAATTTTGTACTTTTTTTTTTTTTTTGTTTTTTATTCTTTTATGTATATAAATATATAACACAGTGCCACACAGTATTTATTCACAGACATGTTTAAATACATAAATCGTCAATATTTTTCAAACATTTACAAATTTTTCACAATTTAAGAAAGCATATTATTATTCTTTTTGCATAACTTATTAAGTGCTTCATATATATATAATAAAGATTTGTTGCAATATTGTCCCCAGTTGGTGTTCATTTATTTTTACAAATATTGTATAAACGCAAGTTTGTATTATTATGTGTACGTATATATTTGTACGTGCGACAATACATTATGCTGGTAGTGATGACATATATCCTTTTTGAATTAAAAAACTGGGAAAAAATGAAATTTTTGTAATGACATAAAATGTTATAAAGTAGATTATTTTTTTCCGTTTTACAACCCTGAGTTATAATGTGCAATACTGATATGTAAGTCCGCCCCTTTTGTGCAACATTTATTTTTTTTGAATTATTTATTTTTTTTTTTTTTTCATTTTCTTCACCATTTGCACACATGGAAATGAAGTATCCCTTATGGTTTAAAAGGAGTTTGCTTGTGTTAAAATGGATTGCAATAATATGTATAACATGTATATTTTGAATGAATAGGTGTGTTAGAAAACGAAATATAAATGTTTTCTTGCATGCATATGAATAAGGAACTGTTAATACATGAGTATACTTTATTGAAACAGATATGCAAATTATGAACTTTGTTTCATTTAGAAAAGATGTATTTTGTTCTGTTACATTTGAAATGTTTATAACTACCAATTTTTAAGCTATACATAAAATGTAATTGAATGAATGTGGTCAAAAAGGAACAAGAATTGTAAATTGGTAAAAGTTCTTTCTTTTTTCTATTAACTACGCGTTCGCGATGAAGAAGAGTAACCATCTGGGCAACGGAATTTCATATAGAAAAAGCAAATTATTTGAAAAAATACAAGTATATATATATATATATATATTCTATATTAACAGTTAACGGTTATATGCCTATAAAATTATATACATTGCTACAACCATTTTTCTAAATTGATGTTACACAAATTGAGAATAAATCAATGTAACATGTTGACTATCCAAACATGAGAGAAATTAAAAACAGATTATTTAGTAGCATTCATTTGTTATCAATGTTTTATATATATATGTATATTTCACAACATTTTACCTAGATAATTATTGCAATATAGCATAAATATAGGAAGCAACGCAAAAGGTGTTGCGTCATTTATTTATATGAAAATGAATTACATGAGCATAATAAAAGAATCCGTACATTTTTGTATATAGGAAATTTTAATTTATGGATGATTAAAAAATTAATTTTTATTTTTTTTTTTTTTTTTTTGGCATATATTTATTCAAAATAAATAAGAAGCTAGAATAATGCAAAACAATGGCGAAGAATTTATGTTAGTAATATAATTAAAAAATATTAACAACATGGGCCGGTAGTTCAGTTGGATAGAATGCCCGACTACGGATCGGGAGGTCGTGGGTTCGACTCCTGCCCGGCCTAATTTCTTTTAAAAGAAATTTCTTATTTTAAAATTTATTTTTACATATTTATTAATTATTAAGTAATCGAGATATATTAACGACATGTCATATGTTATTAATATATATTTTTTTATACTTTTTCTACTCCATAATTTAAAAAAATGCTAACATTATGAACCTTTATTGTGAAAAAGTATGCATTTATAGCACACAACTGAAATAAAAGAAATATCCTCACATGGTCAATAGTTTTAAATGTTGGTATATTTCTTTTGGGTTGCCATTTTTATTTTTTTTGTGGAACTGTAAAAAAGCAGAAATTAAAATATAAGTAGTAACAAGGAGGAAAATTAGATTGAATACACATTAAAAAAAAAAATAATAAATAAATTGAAATACATTAAAAACGGTTTGCGTGTGGATTCAGATAAATATATTCATTCATTTATTTTGGCATGAATGTAATTAACCAATTAAAATATATGATTTTATTTACGTAAAATATTTATTTCATTAATGCAGTATATATATATTGATATATTGTAGATTTACAGGAATAAGCATTAAAACCTTGGTTCACCAAATTTACAGAAAAAAGAAAAAAAATGCTGCGTTTTTAAATATGAAAGAAATGCAATAAAGCTTTAACATTTTAGAGTAGCGTAGTGCACAATTGCAGATTATGTTTATTTAACTTTTTTTTTTTTTTTTTCTTTTCCAAAACATGAGGTGCATTTAGTGGTTGCAATCACATTTACAAGACAGTAAATTTTCGTATATGAGTTGAAAAAGTGCAAACATTTAATAAAAGAAATTAAATTTTTAAAACGGTGATGGGTCTTATTTCCCCAGCTTAAAATAACTAATTTTATGTTAACGGATAAAATTTTTCTTCTGTGGTAATTTTAGTTAATAAAAAAAATGAAAGTACGCAAATATTAATGGTATTTCAAAAAAGAAAAAATTTTGAGCCCAGAGGGATTCGAACCCCCAGCCTTCTGATCTGGAGTCAGACGCGCTACCGTTGCGCCATAGGCCCAATATTAACTTTTGTATAATATTATATTAAAATTTTAATCGCATTTATTATGAATATAAATTTGTTTACTATTACAGGGAGTTCCAGTACGTATAAATGAACATATGGAAGGTTGTACATATTAGTGTAAATGTGCATGTACATAATTATTAAGTTCATATTAAAATATGCACTTTTACACTTAATTTACGTATTATATTTTATTTATAACTTGCAAATAACATACACACATTTTGGAAACTTCTGAATGTGTTTATTTTTATTATACATATATGAATAAGTGTATATATTATATAGATATATATATATAATAAATATTTTTAACTTTTTATTGTACATATTTTTATTACAACTGTTTGTATATTTTTTTTTATTTAATTTGTACATATACATTTTTTTAATTTATGCAAAGGAATTTGTTTATCTAATTACCAACATATTTTTAATTTTTATTAAGCTTCTGCACAGACTTTTTTCTTAAATTAGTATGTATATACTTTTGAGAAGCATATATTACTTTTTTTGGAAGTTCACACACACACAAAGCATAAAAATATTCAATTTTAATCCAGGTTTTCGTAGAATTTAAAAAACTTCTTTTGAAAAGGTGTATAAAATGTGACACTTTTAAAAGTTCATAAGATTTATGTTGAAGAAGCAGTGGTACTAAGTGCATTTCGAAAATTGGGAATTTTATTTGTGAAAAAACGACGATTATTAGTACACGTTTAAAAATAAAGGGGTACCGGAATATACAAATAATTTTATGGATAAAAAAAATAATTAAAAAAAGTAAAGAAAAAAATTACACTTAGCCCAGTGCTAATTTTATACTTTTATTTATTTGTTTCTTAACACAATACTTATGTCTCTTATCAAAGCAAACAAGTACATATATAAAAGGTGTATAAGTAACATTAAAAGGGCGTATGAGGTAAAATTTGGCTTTATTTATAAATATTAGTTAGGTTTTTATATTTTCTACATATTATATACGCTGAAAATTGACGAATAGATTATTATTTTCCTGTATAATATATTTATGAATAAACTTTAATTTTGCAACATAGTGTTGGTATGCACCAGTGGCGTAATTGGATAGCGCAATGCCTTCCTAAGGCAAAGGTTATGGGTTCGAGTCCCATCTGGTGTATATTTTATAAATATAGAGAGTGATCTTCATTTTAATTAAGTTATAAGAAATTATGTTTTATTTTATTTTTAAGTAATTTGCACTGATCATGGTTTTATAAAAATTTAAAAATGGTTAAATTATTCTTGTTTTGAAATTTTTTTTAAAATTCAGCATGCTATACATTAAATACAATATATTAGAAAAATTAATCATATTCTCATGTTAGCATAATTTATTTGTGCCATATGCTTCTCATTTAACCTTTTTGAAAATGTAAATAAGGATCAATTTTTTTTTTTTTTTTTTTTAAATGTTTATGTATAGGGAAACATTGAGACTTATTTATTTTATCTCATATTTTTCTAACTCATTTTACCCCAATAAAATAAATATATATATGTACATATTTTTATGTAAAAGAATTGAAAGGATGCCATAAATTTTAAATTTAGGTCTAGTAAATGGAAAAATTCATTTTAAATCTCAAAAAATAAGAAAAATTTTCCTACCCGAAAACCAAATGCATTTTTTATCAGGTCAAAACTAACATAAGAATGAATTGCAAGTGAACACGTCAATTATTCCATTACTTACGTCTTTACATTTTTTTAAGGATAATCCAATTTTTTATGCTTTCAAAAAAAAAAAAAAAAAAAAACGAAATACGAAGTATACAATTATTTGTGATGCGCAAAATTATAAACGCTTTATTATGTAAAATATACAATATTTGTTTAAAAATTGCATGTGTAAAAGTTTTGTGAAGACATTTTTTTTGCATTCTACTAGGAATAACAGTTCAT